TACAGATCCAGATGTGTGCTCTCAGCTGTTCCTCCAGCTGTTGGCCTGCTGCTATCTTGTTCCACCATCATGAACTCTAACACTTGGGACCCATAACTCCCAAACCAACTCTTTCTTTTATGTGTATAGAAAGATGTAGTAAATCTATCTAGATATATTGAACAGAAATTAGAGGCTGGAGCAATGGCCCAGTGCTTATGAGCACTTGTTGCTCTTCCAGAGGACCCTGGTTCAATTCCCAGCACTTATGTCAGGCAGCTCACAACTCCCTGTAGCTATAGTCCAGGGAGTATCTTGTCCCACAGACAACTGCACACATGTGTTCACATACTCACACAGAGATGCAAACACACATAGATGCATGCATGTGCACACACACATACACATATTACTAAATAACAAAATAATCTTTCACTGAAGGCAAATATTTTCCAAAAAAGAAGACTGAAATCCAGTGATGTGTTCTATTTCAAGAGGACAGAAAGGGGATATTAAATCAAAAGTAAGCAAGAGAAAGCAAATAATTGATAAAAAATCAGCAAACAGTAACATAGAATCAAATATGGCTTATAGAAAGTTAGCAAGTCCATATACACAGTGTTGGAAGCCCAGTGTCTAGTGCACAGAATCATTAAGGACCCCTAAAGGCAATGATGTGCAGAGACAGCCCCCAGGATTGGACTGACACTGCCCAGCAGGACTAGGTCAGTCATTGATGGAGTGATGTGGTGCTCAATCTTGATTGTCAACTTAACAGGATCTAGAATTGCTCTGGAAATAAATCTCCTGGCAAATATTTGGGAGCTTATCTAGACTTGGTTCACTAGAGTAGGAAGACCATCCAAAATATAGGTGATAACATTCTGTGAGCTGTGCCTGGATAAGCAGAAAATGAGCTGAGTTCTCTGCTTCCGTACTGAGGAACCATGTGACCAGGCACCTTGAGTGCCTGTCCTTATGACTTATTCACCAGGCACGATTGTAGCCTCAAACTGCAAGCCAAAACAAACAGTTGTCCTTTCGTTGCTCTTGTTGGCTATTTTATTGTGGCTACAATATGAGTCACAGTACAAGAGGGCTCAACTGAAGGTTAGTTCGTGCAACTTCCCCCTCCTGCTGGTTTCATGCCTTCTTGGCATGATGTAGCATAAAACTTTCTCCAGATACAAGGTTTGGGCTTCACAACATCCATACAGGTCCTCATAAATCGCCCTCTTTCAGGCATTTTGCTAGCAGCACAAAAATGAACAATGCCACATGGCCTAATGTTCAATTCTCTGTCTACTACAGATGATAGAAGTAGCCATTATTTTGAAGAGCTATTCTGAAAATAGGATGTCGGATGTCTAAAATGTCAGTTGAAATGGAGGGAGAGAGTGTATTTATTATGGCTGAGGGTGGGAGTTGGTTAATAGTGTCTGACCTCCAACTCTTGGGGAACAACAGAGTAAAGCCACAACTTAACACTAAATTGTCCAGGTGCCCTTTCCCTTTAGATCTATGAGTTGAAAGACTTCTGAGGACAAGGATTTGACTAAGAAGTAACAGGTCTTTTGTTACATTTTTATTACATTATACACTGATTTCTATTATAGATATGCGGTAATAGTAAAAAGAAATCAGTAGATCATTGTCAAACAATGGCAGCTGTATAAGAATCCTCTAGTAATAAAAACAGGTGGATTTTCTGAAAGCCTGTATTTTGGGGACACAGCAGTCACTTGCAAAACAAAAGGAATTGTGACCTTACACTTAATCTCCAGGAAAATTGTAATGGCTCCTGGAGAGAGGCTTGTTGACAGAATTTCCAATGTAAAGTATTTGCAAACCATTTTGGTAGTGTTGTCTCCCCAACACCTCACACTCACAGAGAGTGTGTGTATGTGTTTGCTCTTGGCTTTGTGTTGAATGCTTCCTGATTGCTGTGTGCATTCTCCTTGCGGAGCTCCCAATTGGCTCTGAAAAGCTAGGTCAGTGGGCTGATGAGATCTGAGATGCTGCGGGCTGAGACACACTGCAGGCGGAGGAGATGCTGCAGGGCGTGTTCAGCAGGACTCTTCAAACCAGTGGGCAGAATGTCTATTGCTGTACTGAGGTGCTGAGTGCAGCCTTGAATTTTGATTGGGAAAAGTAAAAGAAAAAGCAAAAACATGCCTTTCTCTACTCCCCTCTCCTTTGTCACATCAGGCTATGTTGGGAATGGCTCCCCTGGGAAGCTTCCAAGTGAGGAATTGGTGGGCGGAGCAGAGGAGAGAGGAAGAGAGAACTCCCTGAGGAAAGCTGGGATGCTGTTGTGGTTTCCTTAACTGTCTCTGAGATTCAGTCAGTGGTGGAGGAAATTGGAATGCTTGAAGAATGACAGTCAATGCAGTGTGAAAGAAAGGAGGGGACTGGGGTGTGCTTGGGACCCAGCAGAGTCAAGAGCAGTTGGGCAAAGGAAAGCCCCAGGAAGGAGAAGGCGGAACTCTGATTGCTTACTAGCTTGGATCATCCATTGAGAAAGCCAAAGATGTCCAGCTATATTATCCATCATGTTGCCACAGTGAGGCAATCCAGACCATGTATAACAATTCCCTCCTCCAGTCAGTGGGGAAACTGTCATGAATGCACACCTGCCCACATAGCTACTCACTGCTTCTCAGCTTTCTTCACGCCTCAATACCGGACCCACTGGCTATGATTATAGCCTCTAGAAGCAGACCCCAAGCTTAGAAATTGATTGTGTCCCGAATAATCTCTAATGCAAGCGCATACATTCATATGCTTTATAAATGTTGCAAGAGGAATATGCCAATTTAATTGTTTTTTTTAAAAAAAAGCTTCAATATGCAGATGATTCTGGGAAGAGAAAGGGCAAGAGCTGTACAGGACCCATACCAGATAAAGTTATGGAGTATAAAAAAAAATGATGGTTTAGTCTTATTATCCAGGCTCAGCTTGTATCTAGATGTTTATGGGTGTGAGTATCCAACCCTGTTGTGCAAGTATGACTATTATACTTAAGCTCATAATCGTGACAGCACAGAGCACGAGAACGTGATTTGGAAAAGGCAAACCCCTGTACAGCAGGCATTGCTCATGTTTTTATGTAAATAGAAATATAGGTATGCCATGAACAGATGTACAGATTTTGCTCTCTGCGAAAAGCCATTACAAAACCTGGAAAACGTCTGTTTTATTTGAAAGTACGTGAGCCTGATGAGATAGAAATAATCTGAATGCTATTCATAATTCTTTGTGTGCATGTGCTTATGTTCGTTAGATCAAGAAATGCACAACCAGCATGGTATGCTCGAAAAAAGATGACAGTTTGTTTATCTTATCTCGCCCTCCACAATTTTACAATACTAGCACTCGTTAAAGGAATGAATGGAAGGATGAGATGATGGCATGGTGGAGATTTTAGTATTCTCTTCAGCTCTTGTAAATTTGAGTGCTTGGTGGGTTTTTTTTTTCTTTCTTTCTTTTTCCTTTCATTTCATTCTACGCTTTCTCTTTCCTGGAGGAGAGTGTATTGGAAGGCAGCTAATTGAGATTTATTGAGCAATTGAGAGATACTAATACTGAAAGCGCATTCCCTACTAAGCTTTTTGCTAATTTTGTCCCCCTGGATTCCCTCTGCAAGTTCTACATCTCATTCTTGCCGAGTTCTGGTACACCACACAGAGAATAAGGCACAGGACAAATGCCCTGTAATCCAAGAATTTTGTGCAGTTCCTTGGGAAATCTGGAGTGTCCTGGAGATGAGGATACAAGACTATCAGGCATGTTATGGGGAAACATGACTCTGGAGGCTTTGACACTTGTAGCTGTGGCAAGAGGGTTCCTGGCATACACAGTATATATGTATAATAACAATGTATCTATTGTTCCTTATAACCCTGGAGTCTTCCAGGACTATGAATAGAATATACAAGGTACCTTGATGGCACTGAAAACTTTGAATATTGGGTGTCTGTACTTAGCATTTGGTAGCACCAGCCTTCTTTTTGACAACAGTCCAGGGGGCAAGCCATTCATGAACTCATGAACATGAGTTTTCGCTTATGTTCAGCGTGTGTTAGGATGGCTAAGTTACCGAGGTGGAAGATAGATTTGGCTCTAAAGAGGAAGAGGGTATCTTGTTCCCTCATTAGTTACTGAGAGAACACATGCTCTATTTCAATTTTATTTCCACTATCTTCCTGGTCTTCCACTAAGGGGTCCCTCGGGGTTTCATAGCATTCTGGTTCTACCTGGATAGACAGGAGAGATGACACAGTCACACAAAGACACTCTGCCCTCTGAAAAGCAGTCTCGCAATCACCTAGCTGTCCGGTTTTGTGTATTCAGACTTAAGAACATGAGACGAGTTACCAGTCAGTACGGTGGCCATTATTTTAAGAACTGGCTGGTAATGGAACTACTAACCGCTAATGCCTCCATTTGCTTGACTCTGACAATTTGCTTTATAGTGTCTTCCCATTTAAAATACTGGACCCTTCGTGGACTATTTTCCGCCACAAGAAGTTAAAGAGTTTCTACTTTTTGATATAAGGAAAATTTCCGTGGCGTATTTGGGCAATGACTGGGAACTGGAATGAGACAAAAATCCCCAGTTCTGATATTTCTGTGATTTCTCTCCACTTAATTGTGCATCTTGTTGGTTTTTGGTTCCTCACTGAAGCACATGTTCCGTAGAGAGTCTTTGCCCCTGCTGGTATCCCTGGTTAAATCTCCAGGAGTTCCCGGAGTCTGGTTTTGTCAGATTCCCCCCCTCCCTCTTGGAGCCTTTTATGATGGGTCCTCAAAGCAGGTTCCCTCCTCCAAAGCTCTCTGACCAAGAGGCAGAAGGGTTTGGAACCACGGACTTCAAAGGTTCAGAAGCTCTGAGTCCACAGAAACCCTGGAGTTGAGAATGACATCTCCGCTGTCCAATCAAAGGTGCAGGCTTCTCTCCGGTCCCCGCCTCCCTTTCCCTACGGCCCCAATAACTGCACTCTGAGGCCCCGGCTTCTGCTGTCAAGTAGCTAGGGTGGGCTCCGCCTAGGCGAGGAGTGGCGCCGGTGGGAGATGCGCTCCCAGCTGTTTGCGGCGGCAGGAGCGGAAAAGCTGTAGGGCCAGGCAGCGCAGCGGCGACAGGAGTGGGGAACAGGTAGGAGGCAGGCTCGCCCTTCTGCAGAGCGCAGGGAAGGCATGCTTCCCAGAGGCCACTCAGCCCCTGCCCCGCCCTGCTTACCCCGGCTCCCGGGGTCGCTGTGGCTGTCACCTCAACGTCCATGACACCAATCAGAAGATGGGATGAAGGGGGTGGTCGGATGCTGGAGCCGGGGCAAGGTACCGGGAAGGGTTGCTGAGAGGAGCCCGAGGGGCAATGCATCTGGGCAACTTTGCTTGTAGTCTTTGAGGCTGCCTGCGGGGTCGGGCCTGGGGTTTGCCCTGTCTAAGAGGTTGGGGCCTGGGGGTGGAGACATGACAGCTGTCGGAACCGCAGGTCCTCTGCATCTCAACTGCTCAGTACGCCAGGCGCCGCCTGCTCCCCTCCCCCGCACCTGCAGGATACCCTCCAGAACAGCTCTGGCTGCCGGTACTTGCAGTAAGGGAGGCAAGGGCTGGTGCGTCCACAGGCTAAGGACTAGCTCCCCTTGGACGTGAGGACTGGGAAGAATCCAGGCATTTTTCTGATTAATCCAGTCTGAGGAAAAGCCAGGGTCTCCCCTCCACGAGGTGCTGCGGACTGGGCACGGCAGAGAGGTAGCTTCCCGCCTGTCTCACTGTTTCCCACCAGGAACTACCACTTCATCTAGTCAAATGCCTGTGTCAGGGTGGACCCTAAAGCATCCTTTCTGGGTGACCGTATTTGGGAACTAGGTGTTGGCCCAGTGCCGATTCCTACTGGAATCAGGTTGCTGGTAGCAGGCGGGAGAAGAATTGCGGGGAAATCATACACTATGCTGGGAAAATTCCTGAAAAAAAAAAAAAAAAAAAAAAAAAAGGGAATGGTGGGAAAGAAGCAAGTGAGAGGTGTAGCCATTTCTGGCTGTCCTGTTTTTCATGCCAAATCCAGCATGGGCATCTGTACGTGTGTATGCACATCTCCAAGGTGGAGCTATATATAGCTCCTGCGCAGCCTGCTAGGGTTCCTTGCTGCTGAGCGGGCTGCCTTGGCCTTCTCAGGCAATCCGCAAGCACTGGGTGGGAGGGGCGAAATAGAATCAAATTCTTCATCCATGGGGACAGCCAGGGAAGAGAAACTCAGAGTAACAAGCCCCCACATGGAATAACGTTTTTGCTAAAGCACAGAAATCAATGCATTCCAAAATTATTCTGAATGCATTCTTGGTTCTTATCCCGCGGTTTTCGGAGTCTGGTGCATATCGACCATTGCAGCATGAAGTGTAGCATACATCACACTAATGCATGTCTTTTCTGCACTATTTCATTGACTCATTGGTGCACAATGTTGTGCACATGCTTGCTTCTTGGTTATTTGGAATTAAATATATTTATGTGGTAACTTATAGCTAGCTGCACTGAGGGGTCTGAAAAGGACCCACCCACTTTTCAGGATGTAGGACTGTGTGGTTCTGGTAGGGCCGTTGGAGGTAGTTTTGATACATTTGCTTGAACAGATTTTTCTTGCGGCTTACATAAATTTGTGCTGATATGATATTTTAGATTTATTTGAACTCTTTTTAGATGTTTATATATTTATTTTTATCATTGTCCAGGGTTATTTCCTGATAATAGCCTTTCCATTGTTATGAATCAGAAGAACCAAATAGTGTGAATTCACGAATTTCAGCTCTGGTCTTACAACTTCTCTTCAGACAGTGCTCTCCGCAGTATGCCATCGTCATTGGTCCTTGTAATAAATTAAATAGTGTTGTAATAAATTTAAATAGTGTTGATATCCGCAACGATGTGCAACTCATTTGTTCATTTATTGCTTTATTTTCTTCAGAATTAAATTTTGGTTTCCTAGATATCATTCTACTATTCCAGAGGGAGGTGGTGGTGTTGAGTTTTGTCACCCTGCCTGCCTGCCTATCTGCTTTGTGGAGTGTTTTAGTCTCTTAGAATGTGAGCCTCGTGGCATTCCAGGGAGGAGTGATAGGGTCAACTCCTAGGTTTGTCCTAAAGCTTCTCTTAAAAATCTGTGCTACTGGTGGAACATAGGTTTAATCTCAGTATGTGGGAGGTAGAGGCAGACAGATCTCTATAAGTTCAAGGCCATCCTGGTCTTCAGAGTGAGTTCTAGGACAGCCAAGGAAGGCTACACAGAGAAACCCTGCCTTAAAAACAAAGAAACAAACAAACAAAAAAAAAAAACAAAAAAATGTGCATACTTCCACTGTGGGAGTGAGAACTTAATAGGTTGTGGGTAAATAGAAGTACTATGACTATTAATCTATAACTTGAGTCTCTTTGGAAACACATGTGGAGACCTCATCACACTTAGTCTTATGCTGGTTAACCTTATGTATCTATCCATTTTATTATCTATAGAACGATTATTTAAAACCCAGAGACAGTTTTAGGGTTCAACCTGAAGACCAGCAAAGCAAAGCAGCCAGCTACTGACTCTTACCTCTACCTCAGTCCGAAAATGGCAATTCTGGCCTCCAGGAATCCTCAGAATGAGGCTGACTGAGAGCTGTCTCTTCCAGTCCTATAATGTGCTCTAGTGCTGGGATTAAAGGCATGTACCATTACCTCCTGGTTTCTATGGAAAACTAGTGTGAATACTGGGATTAAAGGTGTGTGTGTCACCACTGCCTGTTCTGTAAGGCTGACTAGGGCTGCTGTTTTACTTTCTGATCTTCAGGCAAGCTTTAATTATTAAAATACAAATGAAATATCACTACAGTTAGCTAGTAGTGCTTTTCTGAAAGACATTTGTGCTGTTTTTTTCAAGTTGACAAACTACAGTCACCTAGAAAAAGGGAGCCCCAATTAGAAATTGCTACACTGAGACTATACTTTCGAAATGTCTGTTGGGATTTCATTATTTCTAATTAATGCAGGAGGGACCAACCTACTGTGGGGGGCTCAGGCTATACAATAAAGGTAGCTGAACTAGTCAGAGATTGATGCAGGAGTACCTAGCCTACTGTGGGCAGCACCACTCCCATTCAAAGGGCTCAAGAGATAAAAGAAAGGTAGTTGAACTAGTCAAAGAGCGGCAGTAAGCAATGTTCCTCTGTGGTCTTAGCTTTGGTCTGTGTATTATCACAGCAACAACAATTTAAAAAAAAAAAAACTGGGACATTATGACCTCTGTGGCTTTATAGTTATCACACTGAAAGTTCTAAGCATACTCAGAGGTATCCCCTGAAAACCTATCATCGTGGCAAATTATTCACATAGGTGCTGCAATAATTTGAGGCTCATGACTGTCAGTAGACAGCAGAGTTGAGGACTACTTTTGGGAATGCTGACTCCATGATCCCGCCCTTGATATCTAATGGCTGATGTGAGGGTGCTTCTGCATTCTTGCCCCAGAATGATTCAGTTTTTTTTTTTTTAAGTAATGACTAGATTCTGCCATGTATTCTTTCTTGTGCTCCATGCATCTATCTAGAGAGTTAGGTGACAGATAGATTTCTACAAGTAAGAACATCCCATATGCTTGCCTTAACCACACTCCCCACTCCCCCACCCCCAAATCAGTAAATATGAAGTCATCATTGGTCCCTTGGATATTCTTGGTGTTCAGTTTTTTATTCTTCAAGTCTATTGCATCTCTAATCCCCATCATAATAATCACAGTAAATCAAATGCATTCTCCATGGTACATGTATTACCCCTGATACACACCTATCAATATGTTCCATTCTCTGCTGCAAATAACCCATTTGTTTGGCATGTACCCAGCTCATCTCTTGATGTTTCCAGTCAAATGCTACCATTTCTACATGCAAATTGCCTATGGTCTGCATCATCTCCCAGAACCTAACTACTCTAATGTCACTGGTAAACTCCCATGTTTTACAGGAGCAGTATTTGCTTTTGCTACTAGCATGTTGGCTATTGTTCCTCCATCCGACAGTCATTTTCCATAGTTTACCCCTCTTCCACCAGATTTCAGAAGTAGATACCACAATCATCTGTTGTCAGGTTTTCTTACCTCTCTAAGCCTCCTTTCTTGGTCTCCCTATTTTTGCTTTCTTTTCCAAGCTCTCAAATGAAATATTTCCTTCTGTAGCTGCATTTCTATTATGCTCCTGGCAGCCAATGAATACTGTCCTGATTAAGAAATAGGCTGCAGGGGGCAGGGTGGGTGGGAGTCGCCATTATGCAGACATATGAACGCTAGCAGTGGGCTCTACAATAACACTGTGGAGGCTTTCCTGAGTGTGACTGAGACGGTGCATGTGAATGATTCAAGACAGAACTTGGGCCACAGAAATTGTTCATAAGTAATAGCTGTTAAAGAGTATTATTTGTAATGATAGCGTAAGGAGTGAACACCCTTGTTTGCCTATCCCTACTGATAGGCACTAGCCATAAACTGGCCTTTAGGAACACAGGCTACAACCTTCTAGACAATTTTGCTTGTGGCTAATATTTTTCAGTCTTCCTTTCATCTAGAAGTATCCACTAGCTATTCAGTAGTTTATCTGTTCTTATTCTAATTTCTAGTGTGTATCCGCTATTTGCATTGCTGTTATAAACCTGGATTGGTAGAGTGGTGAATAAGTCCACCAGCACAGAAGCTTAATCCAAGATGCTACAAATCACTCAAGTATATTGTGTGTTAGATTTTTATTATTGTTTTTTTTATTTCAAAACTTTTTATTGGTAGCAAGACTTACTTGGGTCCAGCTTCTAAGGACTGAGTTGTTTGCCATTGGCCATGTAGCAGATGGATAATGCATTGTTCACTATGGTTGAATGTGAGGCCTATTATGTAAAATTATATTGAAAATTATGTAAGCACTTAGTTATTTTGTTAAACTTAATTTCAGATAAAATTGAAAATCAATTTGAGTATTTAAAAGAAATTACATAATCACTAAGGAGAAAATAGAAATAAAGAAAACAGAATTTTTTTTCTTTTCCTTTTCTTTTGAGACAGGATGTCTGATTGGAACTCACTGTGCTTACTGTGTAGAGCAGGCTGCACTTAAACTCATAGTGATCTACCTGCCT